TTCACTATTAGGTATGCATTTTAGCGGGGGGGGGGGGTGATGTATTTTCTGCAGATGAGAATGTTGCGGCTCTTTAACATGTCTCCCCATGTGGGGTTATTTGTCCTTGGGTTAAAGGGTTGAAAATCGTGCCAAATGGGATAGCATTGCCGATGGACTACCAGGGGAGGAGCACAGGGGAAGCCTTCGTGCAGTTTGCCTCAAAGGAAATAGCAGAAAAGGCTCTGGGGAAACACAAGGAAAGAATAGGGCACAGGTGGGGCCGGCAAGACTGGGCTGGGTGCTAATGCTATCTCTAAATGTGGGGTGGGGGGGGTCATGCATCTTTCTGCTCTGGAAAAAGATGTTATTATACTTGAAATGTTTAATTTTACATTACACTGTCATGAGGGGACAATAGGCAGAAATATTATTTCATAATGTCATTGGGCAACATACTGCAGAAGCAAAGGAGCCTTTTAATGAACAGGCACTTTACAATACTTTTAAGATTACGTTTCTGTCTGAAATTGGCCTACAGATTAGATAGTTAAATTTTATGACTGGGCAGAATGTCAGACACTTACTACTTCTCCCTCTGGTCAATAACTGACAATAAACTGTCAGTTATTGTGATGCCATAATGAATTTAGTCAGTGGACCCCAAATATTGTCTTCCCTGAAATCTTCCTCATTGCTGTTAAAACATTCAGCTGCCTGTACGTTTACTAACATGTTGCATTTCAAAATAAACTCAGGTACATAGAGATATTCAAAAGCAGTCAAAATGAAATGCGTGCATACTACGAAGTACCCCGGAGGATGATGGGACAGAGGCCTAGTCCATATGACAGACCCATGATGGGACGCGGGGGCTTCTTTGGGCCCGGGCCTGGAAGGGGAGGTGTTGTCCTGGACCAGATGCGCAGCGGAGGCGATTACAGCAGCGGTATACTACTTTAATAGTGCTTTGTAACTTTATTAACTCTCACTGGGTTTTAGTTAATAAGATGGATAGCTAATTAACAAATGTGGGTTTAAATGGCTATATGCACTACCGATTCAAAAGTTTGGGCTCAGATGGAATAAAAAAACAAAAAAAGGAAATGAGTACTTTTAAACTGTGAAGGTGCATTAAATTGATAAAAAAAGACAGTAAAGAATTTATAACTTTACAAAAGATTTATATTTTTAAATAAATGCTGATTCATCAAATAATCATTAAAAATTTATTACCCGTTCCACAAAAAAAAAAGTATGTATTATAATCCAAAATATTTCTTGAGCAGCAAATCAGCATATTAGAATGATTTCTGAAGGGTCATGCGACACTGAAGACTGAAGTAATGGCTGCTGAAAATTCAGCTTTCAGTAGCAATAAAATTTCACAATATTGCTACTTTTTACTGTATTTCTGATCAAATAAATACTTTGGTGAGTTTTCCTTCAAAAAAAAAAAATCTTACTGAACTTTTGAAAAGTTCTTTCACTGACAGGATGTAAAAAATAATAATTTGTCTCTCCTTCATAAGGATATGGTGGGTTTGAAGACTACAATGGCTTTAACAACAACTGCTTTGGTAACGGCATGTTTGAAGAGCGCGTGCGTGATGATAGAGGAAGAGGAAGAATGGGGGGTCATAGCTACAGCAGCGACTCAAACTCAGGCTTTCACAACGGTCATTTTGTGCACATGAGAGGCCTACCGTTCCGTGCTACAGAGGCGGATATCGCACATGTAAGAAACACCACAGTTTTGCCATTTCTTGTGGATATTTTATTACATTATTTTGTTATACAGTGAAGTATTATTGCCCTTGTGTGAGTGTTTTATTTCTTTTTCAGTTCTTTGCCCCTTTAATTCCTGTGAGGGTGCATATTGATGTAGGACCTAATGGAAAGTCTACAGGAGAGGCAGACGTTGAGTTCGGATCTCACGAAGATGCTGTATCTGCCATGTCAAAAGACAAGAATCATATGCGTAAGTTGTCTCCAAACCTCTGTCTTAGTCAAACTGTACCGCTGTCCTAATTGTTTTCAGTATCACATTTATCCTTGCACTGTTTTCCTCTCTGCAGAGCATCGTTACATTGAGCTTTTCCTGAATTCAACTTCAAGTGGGCCGTCCGAAATGGGTTAGTATGACTGCGTAGAGATTGTTGTTATGTAATAGTTTTGTTGAAGTGGATGAGAAGGTGTGAAGACAACATTCAAATCTAAGTCTTTTGTTTTGGGGGCATAAAAACACTGCAGGCCGTGGAGGAGGTTTCTATGGCAACTCTGGTGGTATGGGCTCTCGAGGAAGTGGACTAAGGGGGATGTATTGAGGATGCTTACAAATCATGCACTTTTCAACCCAAAGTTGGAACTTCCAGCTTGAAAGGTCTTTTTATATGAATATGTTTTCACATGTTCCTATGAAATATGCC